ATCCTCAGGGACAGCTTTGTTTCACTTATGGTAAGAAGGTGCCTCAGGTATTACAGGTTTTGGAAGACAAGCCATAATTTTAAGATAAAAGTGTGAGAGAAAATCAGAGGTTGCAGAAAGAAAGAAATGCATTTTGGCTGCAGTTAAGTCAAAGATGGAACTGGCTGACCTCAACATTCAATCCATGAAAAAGGTACCCCATTGGCAATACTTTCTTTACTCATTTGAATGTAAAAGGGTTGAATTTCTTTAAAATATTCCCCTTAGTCCAGTATTTGTACTTCTGATAAACTTTCTTCCTCTATTAGTGACGCTTTCCAGTTTCTAGTTTTTTTAATCACCTATTTCTAATTTTTTAAAAAATCAAACATTAATACTGTCAAAACTGAGCAGGGTTCTAATATTAAATTTTGTTATATTACATTTCCCACTATTAAGATAAAAAATACGAAGACTAAGAAGACAGAGTGAAAGGATCAGCACCATACTTAACAGAAAACAACTTTTCAAAGCAACCTGAGTAGGAACTAATTTAATAACACCAATTTTCTGAAAGATCACATACTGTTAAAAAAAAAGTCTCCTTGGAACAAATAGAATTAAGAAGAAGCAGGTTCAATATTTTATGTAGATGGGCTAACCATCACACTCTATTCCTCATCAAGGTATATAAAAAAATACAATGATAAAAACATTTCTCAATGAAGAATTATATTCTATGGAGCTAGGACAGATGTTTTTTTCCCCTTTCAAAAGGCTGCATACAATGATACCATAAAAATAATATGGCAATTTCATTGTTAATTTTATAACATTTTCTTACGTATCATTTACAGGCAAAGACACACAAATGACTTCTACTTCTGAATTGTAGAAAGATCAAAGTAAAACATTTTCAATAGATGGCTTTACTATTGCCACGTCAAACCTAATACAGACTATTGAAAACCAAAGGGCCAATAAAATGAAATTAATGATCAATTTTTAAATCTTTTTTCCCATTCACTATTATGAACAGAACAGCATCATTCTATCTAGAACAATGCTTGGCCCATAGTGAGTACCCAATAAACATCTGATGACTTGAGGAAATTTATATTGCAAAATAGTTATACCGAAGAAAATGTTTTAATTTGATCAAAATCATTCAAAATCGTTCTCTATAAAAGCTAATATAATCTTTAATTAACACTGACTTCTAACTATAGGTGGTCTAATTAGGAAAAACATTTACAACTTTTAAGAACAATGTAAATATCTTCCCAAATTCTCCAAAAAAAGTTTTCTAAAATAAAGTTCTTCAATCTTTCAGAAATAACCTTTATTATTTATTTATCAATAAATGAAACTCTTCAGTTTGAACTTAGTAATTTATTATACTTTCCTATTGAGAAAACTCACCTTTGGTTCCATTTTTTAAAAAAGGAAGGAACAACTCACAATAAGCTGATCTTAGGCATTTTAACTCTGGTTTGTGACAATAAAATACAATCCTGTCCTCCACTAAAACGTGTAAAAATATGTAAAATATTTCCATCACCCCGGAAAGTACTCTCCTGCCCCTTTCTAGTCTATCTCCCACCACTGATTTCTATAACCAAAGCTTTTTTCACTCAACACAAAGTTTTTAACATTCATCAGTCGATCAGTAATTCATCACTTTTTATTGCTAACTAGCTTTCTACTCCATGAATATACTATAATTTGTTTATCCATCCTCCTGTTGGTAGATACTTGGACTGCTTCCAGTTTGGGGCGATTATAAACAAGGCTCTATGAACATGCTTGTATGTGGAAACATGTTTTCAACTCTGTTGCACTTCTAAACTCTCTGTTCAAAATTGGCCCTTTCTAGATAAATAGAGCTAATGCCCTTAAAGCTGTTAGCTCTGACATGTTTGTTTCTTTGGGAAAAACATTGTCTTTAGGATCAAAACCATTTCTTTTCAAAGCAGCAAAATAGTTCAAGTAGGGAAGAAGTCATATTATATTCAAAGTTTCATAGCTAGTTTTTAAATCTAGAAGTAAATAATTTTCTGACCTTAGAACAGGGAAGATGCTTTTTGTTGTTCTATTTTAAAGTTTACATGACAGGAAAAGATTTTTTCCCAAAGGTCAAAGGATTAAAATACACTATACTTTGAAAGGGCAAAGTCATACAAATTTATCTTAAAAGACTCACTGTTACACAGGAGACCTACACTAAAACAGGTAAGTTGTTTTTGATAGATAAGGATTGTCTGTAAACACTGTATGGTAAAGGATCTCCAGGTATTTAGAAAAGAATGCAGAGTCATCATGAGAGAGGCGATTGTTTTTAGTTTTGGGGTTTTTTTTTTTTAACTGCTGGATCTAAATAGGGAAGGAAAAAACAGGCAATAATGTGAACTGAAATTTTTTTTTGCCCCAATTTTCAGATAGAAAATGAAAATATTTTTTGTCTCCTAGACATTTACACAATTGCTGAAAGTTATCTTTCAGGTTTTTATTTCAACGAAGTCTAAGTATAGATGCAAACAAAGAGCAGCTCATTCAGAAGAGCCGAATGTCATTAGCTATTTGACATTAGCTAATGGAGACTTGTGAAAATTGCTTTCTTTCCATAGTGCTTCAAAATAGACTCTGCAACTGCTACATTTGTCACTGTCTAGTGTGAAACGGGCTGTCTCATTTTTTTTCATAAAGCAGTATTACAAGCATATTAATGTTTCCTAAACAAATACGCAATACAATGAGAACTAAACTGTAAACACTGTAACGGGCCTTAAATTAAATATGTACTATTATTTACCAGAGTTGTCATATTTCTGAGAAACAGTTCTCACATTAAATATTTAAGAGTTTTAAAAATGAAGTTACTATATATTATTGATTTAAGGAGAAACTTAGGTTGAGTTTCCTTGATGCCTTTGATAGAAATTAAGTATCTGTTGACAAGAAGGATCTTCAAGAAAAAAACACACCTGTAAAATCTCCTGGCCTGTAATTCAAATATCATATTTTTTTAATCTGCTTCTACTACACTCTATCAACAGAAAAGAGAAACTAATATAAGACCATCCACCATCAGAATTAACACACATAAATCAGGACCAGGGAGGGAGTTTAAGAGAACATTTTTCTTTTTTGGCTGTTAAAAATTCAGCAGCTAACTTATGCAAATTATTTAAATGGAAAGTTGGCAAATGGGAACAAATGTCACAAAATGATGATATCCTTTTGACTTGGTATTATTATTTTAGTGAATATACCCAAGGGTATAATTCAAAAGAGGGAAAAGTAACAATTGATATTGGTACAGGGCTACCTGCCACTAAACATTATGAACAAAAAATGTATTTATGTAAACATTCCAAATTTCCAGCTGCAGGAGAATGGTTAAGCTTACTATGATCTTAATTTAAAATAAGATTACATAGTTGTTGGAACAAGAGGAATAAATTAAAATATGTAAAGTACTTAAGTAAAAGAAATGATAAAGACAAAAAACAGTTTTACCTAATTGCTGTAATTCTATCAGAATAAACTGGTAGGATCAAAAGAAGACATTGGTATTTATAAAAACTTGCCTAGAAAGTTTTCTGATTTTATGTTACTTTCCTGTGGCTTCTGACTTTAGATACTTCTTTTTAATGCCTATTACTCAGTTACCACGGCTTCTATTCAATTACAAGCTTTCTACCAAATCCTGTAACATCTAAAATGTTAACATCTCACAATTCATTTATCTACAGATCAACTGTCTGTCCACCACTCAAAAAATCTCTAAAAATATGTCATCTAGTTTCCCCACCTAAACCTATCTGCCCACCAGACTTCGCCATTTTTCCCCATCTTAAATCTCTGAGAGGGGCTATCTCCCAAGGCACCCTATTTGTTTTTCTTTAATGAAAACAAAATTTTTTTAAACTTCATTGTATTGGAGCTGAAATACATTTCCAAACAATTTTCACTAACTCAGTCCTAGTTTTCTTTGGTCTACACAAAATAAATCATCCAGCCAGCCTTCCTGGGTTAGCTGTACTTTAAGTCAGCTAACATAGATCTCCAGACTGCTTCAAGCTAAGCAAGCCTCTTCACTTCAAAATTACTTTAATTCATGCTTAACATCCCGATACTCAGAACGTGTCTGCTGAAATCAATATGCCTTTTTTTCCCTTATCATCTTAATCAATTTCTCGTCTGGTTTACAAATACCCCACTTACACTGTAATGCTCAGAACACATAAAAATCTCCCAAGTGTTGCCTGCATTCTGGAAAATTTTATCCTTTATATTTGAAGTCCTTGATTGTCAGCTTTTTCTTTTTTTAAAGGAGGGATCTTAAGTACCTGTCACATATATTAAATTCCATTTTCTAAAATGTGGGCCATTGAACTGGCCTTTGAACACTTAGCTAATGTATCTTTCCTACTTCAGTTACCTCAACTGCCTCCAGACCCATAGGAATGGAGGCGACCTCAAAAGTCCCCATGATAGGTCATCTCTCCCCTAGAATACTAATCATTTTCTAATTTTCCTACTACATAAAACTGCTCTATACATATCCCGTGTGTGTCTGGCTTCTCTCCCACACACACACACCCCCAACACGCTGAGTGCAAAACCCAGTTGCAAGCTGGTATTGCCTGATACACCAAGTTTTAGATAATGGCGACTTATCCTCCTTTAAAATAAACAAGCACACTGCAGAGAGCGAAGGAGCTGAATAAGATGAGCGAGGTCTCAACTCAGCACCTTCTCTGGAAAAAAACCCGTCTCACATCACGGAAAACTACAGGACACAGCGACGAGGACAAGCACCCCAAAAGGCCTGTAAGGAAGAGGTAGCATCACACGCGCTCAAAATCGGTTGCGCCTGCGCGCGCTCGCAGGGTCAAAAGGTCCCGCTCCGCCCCGCCCCTTGACCCGAGGACGTTTAGCGACCCCCACCCCCCTTAACCCCGCCCCCGAGCCTGGGAAAGCGCAAAGGATGAGCAGCAGCTGAAGGTGGGGATTACCTGTGAGCCGGGCAAACCCAGTAATGCTCTCGGGGACTGGGAGCCGCTTAAGATAAGCGGGGAGCTGCACCTTCACGATGCGGGCCACGCTTTCCAGCACCATCCTCGCCGGCGGCGTCCGCTCCCAAGCTTCTGCCTCGCCCGCCGAGCTGCCGCGCTTGCGCCGAGAAGGGAGGTGGCCTGCGGGCACGCGAAGTCCTGATACCGGCGGCGGGCGGGGCTGCGGGGCCCCAGAGGTGATCTGCCCGGCGCTGATTGGCAGCGGGCGGGTGACGTGCACACAGCGGGCGGACGCCATAGGGTCGGCGGACGCGGCGGGCGTCGTGGCCGTGAAACGGGTGTGTAGTGGGATCGCCTAGCATCTGGATTTTGAAGAGGGCCTTAGCATTGGGCCTTTTATGTCTACTCGCTAGAGGTCAGCAGAAAGGATAACGTGTCGGATGAACTAAGCCATGTGAGAGTGCTTTGTAACCCGAAAGTGCCTTTCAGAAGTGGGGTTCTTCCCCATGTATCTTTTTACTTCTGCCCCTTTCCTCTTGGTCTCCTCTTCGAAGGAAAGGTGTGCTGCAGGATTGAATACTCACCTAAGAGGACCGCCACCCCCGCGGTGCCGAATTCTGCTCTGTCACCACTGCAACCATGTTTTGTTTTGGGGTTTTTTGGTTTTTTTTAAAGAAGTTAAAACACGCTGCCTAAACTAAAATGCTTACAGCTCTGCACATACGTAATTTAATGCAACCCTGCCTTGAGGCCCTGAGATTTCTCCTACTTAGGAAGACCCGTGATAGTCCTCCTTAGATATTTTCAATTCCTTCTGCAGAGCAGTTCTTGTTTCGGTTAACAAAACCTTGGAACGTGATAAAAAGAATATGAAACCTTAGGGTTTCCTCTGTATGTTGTTGCTGGATTTCTGCTGCAATCTACAGTATCTGTGAAGCTCTTTCATTTTTGTTATTTTCATTAACAGCTTTTTAAAAACGGAGGGATGTAAAGACACAGCTTCACTCCCTTGAAACACCTTCTTTGATGTGACTTTGTTTCATATTTCTGTTTTAAAGTAAAATATCCTGAGTAAGTCACTTGGTGAGTGCGTGGTGTGTGTCTTGTGTTCTTAATTCAGTGTCTCATTACAATTCTGAACTTCACTTGCCAACGTGGTACGGTTTTCATTTTGTATGACAATATAAACAGCCAGTTGTAATAAATACGTTTCATATTTTTTAAAAATTTTCCCTTGGTATTTTCACTTTAAAGTGAGAAAGGGAAAGAATTTGTTTAAAGCAGTGTTTCGTTGGATTGTTTAAATTTAATATTTGTGATGGTCATTGCCCCTCAAAAAAAGAGAATTAATTGGAATCTAGATAAACTGATTATATGTCACTTTACCCTGTTCAGAATTGTCCAAGCACAATTACAATGGAAATTCTGTGAAGATGCTTAGATACAGGTTCACACGTTCATGAGCTTGAGCGACATAAATGTGATATACAAAGTGATGATTAAAAGGTTGGCACATTAGGATTTCCTTTCAATATCCTTTTGCAAGCTTACTTTTGGTGTGGAGGAAGAAGGACCATAGAGCTAGTTTGTCCTGAATATGATGATCTCAAACATCCTTGTCTTACGGACTGTTCTGTTAGCTGGTATCTTTAATCTCTGCTGATGAGATATAGAGACACCCTTGGGGAGATGGTTGGGATAGACAAGGACTGGGAGTGGGGCACGGTAGGGGAAGAAAAGCTTGAAGAATGCCACTAAATATATAGCTAGAGGCTTTGTGGATTTTTTTTTGTTTTTTTAAGATTGTATTTTATTTATTTATTTATTTTAAGAGAGAGGGGAATGGAGGGAGAAAGACAGAGAGAAACATCTAAGTATGAGAGAAACATTAAATGGTTGCCTCACCCACACTACCAATTGGGGATCTGGCCAGCAGGACCTTTTGATTCACAGGCTGGCGCCCAATCCACTGAGCCACACAGGCCAGGGTAAGGGCTTTGTGGTTTTGACAAGGGCAAAACGAGCTGTGTTGAGAGATTCTTAAAGCTTCTAAGAAGTTTTTCTTTAAAGGAATTAAAATGTATATACCTCAATTAAGATAAATAACATAGTGAAGTGCTGAAGGGCCAAATGTGCAATTAGAGGTGACCACCACCCAGATAGAAAGAAAGGAAGAGAGAAAAGAAAGGAAGAAAGGGGAGAGGGAGGAAAGGAGAAAGAAAATATATCCATCGTCCTACGGAGCTTCTCTGTGCCCTTTCTAACCACCCCTATTCTGTCTTGCTTTGCGGGTTCTTGAACTTCATATAAACGGGATTATACAATATGTAGTTTTTGTGTATGTGTGTGTGACTTACTTTCCCTGAGCAGTTTATGTGGATAACTGGTTTGCTATTTCCAAGTAGAATAAATGTAGTGAGTGGAAGTATGTATGGATGATGGATGAAACATTTTTTTTTTAAATTTAGAGAATATATGGGTGGCTTCATCAGACATTTGTGATACATTATATGAGCTATGCTAATATATAAAAGCAGAATATCTAACCGCACCAAAAAAAAAAATACATATCCTTACTGTGCATTATAGGGAGTATTTTCTTAGATTCCCTTTTTAAATTTATATTCAGTTTTACTCACTTTTTAAAATTTGTATTTCATTTCCACAACCCTGCCTTCTTGGCAGTACATGAAATGAGCTAATAATATTTTCCTAAACAGAAGTGACAGGCTGATACAACTACCTTTTGACATAGTATCCAAAAAAAAACCTGGTTTTGTTAATATTAAATCTTAAATTTAGACTTCATTTTTAAAAGACAAAGATCCTTTGTGGTCCAAAAAGACCAGACAAAATATTCATTATGTGAGTAAAGTTAAAGGTGTTATTATTTACTATTAAAACTCGAGTGAGGATTAGTATTCTGTTATCTTTTTGTCCTAGGTAGGCCTAGACTCTTAATTTTTTTTGTTTTGCATGCTTTCTTTCTATAAGCTCACTCAGTCCCATAAATTCAAATATGATAAATAAATTGATGTAGCCCAAATCTCTATTTGCAGTCCAGATTTCTGCAGTACTACTAATCCCAAATGTTTCCTGCACATCTATGGGCATCTTTGGCCATTTTGCAATTGTTTTGGTCCTCTTTGTCACTGATCTATGTTTTCTGGATAGTATCACCATACTTAAATTTGTATGACCTCTATGTATCTTCTTCCAGTCTATGACTTTTCTTTGACCTTTGTTTATGTTGTCTTGTCTTATACTGAAATTTAGTTTGAATATAGTCAGATTTATTCATTGTTTCCTTTATATTTTGTGCTTTGGGGGGGGTCTTGTTTAAGAAATCCTTTTTCTACTTCAAAATTACAAAGATATTCATCTATTTGCTAAAAGTTTTAAGATTTTATTCTTCATATTTAGGTTTTTTATCAACCTATTTTTTCTGCATATAAAAGGTAGAGACCTAATTTTACTGTATATATGAACAGTTAATTTTGCTAGCAGCATTTATTGAATAGTTGAACTCTTATGGTTTGTAATGTCACTGGTCTCAAATCAGTTTCCCATAGATTGTTTATTGTTTTCCATTGGTGTATTTGTAGCACCTCTATGATATTATCACACTATCATAATTGCTACAGCTTCATAATAGGTATTAATTCCCAGCAGGATATTAACAACAGTTAATATTCATGTATTTTCTTCAAAATTATCTTGGGAATGCAAGGCCCTTTACTACTCTGTATGAATTTCAGAGGCATCTCTTTAAGACATAATGAAAAAAAAAAGAGTTCTATCGAAAATTCATTACAGTCTCAGTTTCTCCTTTGTAATATGCTGGTATTAGTGGTTGTTATGACTAGATATAAGTAATTTTTATGGTGCTTAATTGTTGGGAACCATCCCACCTGGTTTCAGGGACTGTAGCCTCACCGACAGGCAAGAAGGCCTCAAGGCTGGAGCTGAGCAAGGAGGCCTGGGAAAGTAGGGCACTCAGGAGACACAACCTGTCCTCCTGGCAGGGGCGCAGCCCCTGCCTCCCTCACCTCACCCTGCTTGGCCCCAGAGGATGGCTGGTTAGTCAATGATGGGTAAGACCCCTTGATGGCAGGGGCAACGTAAGACAGGCACAGTCACGTGGGGGCTGCCAGAGAAGGACTTGGGGGACACGGAGAAGAGGCAAAAGACCCTCACCCCTCAGCTTCGTTAGGGCCGGAGTCATTCTATCTGAAAGAAGCCTCCTTATCTCTTAGCAGCTCTGCTCCCCAACCTGATTCAGGCTTGAAACAATAGTAGAGGCAGGTACAGCCCTAAGCTGGATGAGGCAGTTCCTGGGGGCAATTAGACCTGGAGAAGAAATGCATTAAATCCTATGAAACCTGCTTTGCTAAGAATGCCTTTGAGTTAATGAGTATTGGTGTTTTGGGTCCAAGCATAGGATGAATTATTTTCCCAGGTCTTAGGGCCCAATGGACATTACTCTGTGTACCTGACCCTGACTCAGACTCTTGTAATCCCTTTACTGTTATCCTTGAACCATATCTCCTTCCTTTAATAATTTACTGTTTAACATTATGCGCTTTACGCACATGTTCCATATCCCTATATTAGCTACATTCAATAAAAGCCACTTTAAGAGAGGGACTCAGGGCATTCTCCACTGGAGGAAATCACCACCCCCTCTCCTGACAGGCAAATCATGTCTGGTACAGTGTATTTCTTCATCCGCGGCAGCTGGGGAGACTGCGGGACAGAGCCTCCCTCACTTAATGAATGGCTAATATCAATATCATCATCATCAAGTAATGAGCCTTTACTCTGGTTTTGAGATCATAAATTCAGAAATTCTACCTTCTGACCACAGCTCCCGTATTTCTGTATACATCTTCCACTCCTTTACTTCCACAAAACTAATTCTTTGACTTCATCAAGATATTTAGTGTTGAAACCATCTGCATTTCTTTTTAGTCTGTTATTTCACTACTGGATTTATTTTTTTCTCATTCACAAAAGTTTCTCTAAATCTTCACTGTTTTACATTATTTATTTATTAAACCTAATTGCTACTACAAGGCTTATTTCGAGTTGATATGATCTTGCTTTTTAGTTACTAGAGAAATTTGCCTTAGCATCATCTCTAAACGTGGTTATAATTCCTCCCATGTTTAGTGTCTGCCCTGTTCTTCAAATC